GACGAGACAAATGTCATTTGGCAGCATTCGAGCGACTATATAGGCTGTCATGATCATTATCGCAATATATATTCCCCTACCGAGAAACGGCACGCACAGTCAAAGTCGAGAGCTGCTGCTGTAATCCCAGCTCATCTCGCTCGGAATCGCTGTGGTTGGTCCGCGTCTTCGTCTTCGTCTTCGACTCCGGAATCCGGAATTCGGAATTCGGAATCCCTTCTCTATGGATGAATTGTTGAGGCGAAAGTGAGTTATGCCCTCGGCGCGTGCACTGGGCCAATATCCTGCTGTGTGACACCGTCCCGTCGCTTTGCTTTTGGATGGGTTCGGTTCGGTTCGATTCAATCCGATCCGATCCGATTCGAGTCGAGTCGAGTCAATCTGGTGCCCCACCTGCCCTTGGGCAGTATAACCTGGCCTCTCTTCCTGGGCCACTCATTTGTAATTTATACCCTCCAGCCAAGCAGTCAATAAATGTCATGTTTGTGTTGTTGATTGTCCACACCACCACTATGCGAGCCACAACCAAAGTCCAAGCCGAAGCCGAAGCCCAAGCCCAAGACCCGTTCTCGTTTTCCCTTTGAGAGAGGTGCTCCAGTATTCGAAATCGCAGGCATTCCTCTTGCCAGGGCTCCTCGCTTTGCGATTTGCATACACAAGATCAATTGCAGGTGATTTGTTTAGCTGTCGAAATCGTCGTCTTATCGTAACTCATTACGAGATTTATTTTGTTCAACAAATGCAGAAGGTGTGATTTGTCTTTGTACCGATCACAGTCCTGCTCGCTCTCTTTCTTACCCATCTACCTTGCCCGATTCCCCTTGCCGATCTTGGCATTTATTTTTTATTGAGTGAATCATGCATCAGGAGGCAGTTCCGTGCACACAAAAAAATTAATAATTTGAATAAAATTAATGCTTATAAAATTATTAGCTAATCAGGTAACAATGGAAAATGGTAAAAAATTAGGTCAAGAAATCATTTCAAAAATTTAAACATAAATATATTATTATATTATTAAGTATATAAATACATAAAAAAAAAATGTACCAAAAAAATGTATTTTTGCTTAAAAATTTACAATAATTATATTAATTTAAAGTTGTTTTAAAGTAACAATATAATATAATCTCCATTGCCTTTAATTACTTTACTTTCAGATAAATTTGTTTTCGGTTAAATTTTATATAAATTTTAGTTTAGTTGATTTGTTTTCAGTAAATTAGGAATAAAGGTATTTCAGTATTTTTTATACGTAGTACGTTAGTTTAATTTGAAATTTTCGCACCCCCGAATAGTTTCATAATTTCTTTCCTGTGTGGCTTTTGGCTGGTGTCGGCTGAATGGACTTTTAGGCAATGGTTCAATAAATTCTCCTTGCTCCCAACGTACTTGGCAGCATCATTAACCGTCCGCGGACACAAGCACGGACACACAAACGGACACGGACACGGACACGGACAAACGGACAAGTGGACAAACGGACAGAGTTAGTGGGCCGCCCACAAAGGCCGCCCGGCCGCATGATGAGCAGCTTCTAAATGCGACCGCAGCCAGTTGGTCCACAAGCGAAGCGATAATGTGATTTATGCCGTCCATTAATCTGGTAATTCATTTAAGCGCAGGAAACTGAGCCGCTATCCCAGTTCAGTTCAGTTCGGTTCAGTTCAGTTCGGTTCAGTTCAGCTCAGACCAAGTCCAGAGTGTTGTCGGTTTGGCATGCAAACGAGGAGGAGGAGTCTCAGTCCCAGTCCGAGTCGCCTGGTGCACATATTTTATGGCATTGTGCATATGAATCTCTTGGTCGGTTGCCGGTTGCCGCTTGCCTCACCGCATCGATTGCAATTCGACTGCTGTTCATCTTGGCCGGGCTGAAAACAGGTGGGGAGCGGCGGCCTGGGGAGGATTATGGCTTGAGGAGACATCGGGCGGATTACGGTGGAGGCCCCTTGCTGTCTCCCAGCGGAGGGCCAATGGAGTCCAAGTCGAAGCTGCCAGCGATCGCTTGTCGCTTGTATTAATAAAACATTAATTACACACTTGATACTCGCTCAAGTCGCTGGCTTCGATGCTACAATGCACAGGGAGAAAACTAAAGGTTTTTGTTTTTGCCACCTGCTTGAGTTTAACATTATGTTATTTGCTTGATAAATGCGACTTGGTTGGTCATCTAAAATTTAAAAAAAAAAAAACCTATATATTTTATAGATATATAGCCAAAAAGTAAAATATATATAACGAAATCATTTGAAGTAAAATTGTTTGATACCAAGAAAATGAGAGTTTTTTAATTTAGTCATGCTTTTAATGACAAAGATATATTTTGAAGTTTGGTTTTTATTTCATAATTAGCAAATGCTAATCCTCAAATAATTGGTAATCCTTCCTTTAAGTTTTCAGAAGTTTTAATTATGCCTATGTCTTTCTACCAATTTTTATCTCAGTGTGCCGCCGTGCTTCAATGCTTTTTTGCATTGGTGTTTTTCTGCTGCGTTGCTTCGATGCCGCGTTGCTGCGACGCTGCGATGCTTCGATGGTCTATGAGGTGTCGTTGTAGGTGTTGCATGGACTTGGCTGGTGGTCCACACGTTAGACGCGCCTGCTGATGCCGATGATGATGCGCAAAATTGATGGGCACACGGCCACCGAATGCTGTCAGTTTGCAGTTGTTGCTTTGCCGGATTTTTGGTTAGAGGAGTGGGGAAGCTGAGGTGGGGGGCTGAGGTCACCAGAGTGTGGCTTTCATTCACCTTTCGAAGGGAGTTGAGGTGCCGATTGATGGGGGTCACCTGGGGTTGAGTATTCCAAAAGGGAGGAATTTCAGCAAGCAGCTAAATTGAGTTTGGTTGGGGTCACCAGACGAGCAAGGCCGAACTATAAGTTTGGGCTATGTATAAGGAGAGGTTTTTAGAAAAGAAATATGTTTTTGTGAGGAAATTGATACCAAATTTATTTGTTATTCCCGCTCTTCTATATGTTTCCCCCCCATCGACCAACCACTTAGCCCCCCGCGTTCCCTCCAATCTATGTCCAATTACATTAGCAAACCAATCAATGCTGATACCTGGCAATCGTCCAGGTCTATGAGCCAAACAAATTGATGGCCATGACGTCATGCTAATTGTACGTGTGATTATTTTGACAGCGAAGGAGCGACGGAGGCCACTTCCGATGTCGATGTCGAAGTTGTCGCTGTCGTTGTCAAATTGAAAATGCAATCATGCGTCCAAACGTCAAATTAAACAGCTCGGAACTGATTTCTGGCGGCAGATCGCACCGAAAACGACGGTTCACGGTCCACGGTCCAAAATCGTATGAGCGAACACCCACTTAACTAATCGCATGATTAATGATGTCAAACTGACACTTGAGGCGAACTCGGCTCGGTTCTCTGACTGTTCCATCCACATCCTCAGTCCTCAGTGCTCTGTCCCCAGTTCCCGGTTCCCAGTCCCCAGTTTATATAGCGATCCCATAGCGATTCCCATTCCGACATCCAGTAGGTGCATGTTGGGCCTGCCAATCGCAGCTGCGACGCTTGAATGACAGGTGCTGACAGGTGATAGATTATTGCTGGCGTGCTGCCGATGTTTCTGCTGCAGCCTTTGGACCTTGCGTGATTTATCCCAAAAAAAAAAAAAAAAAAAACCAACAAAATCAAGACGAACAGGAGGCGAAAACACTCGCGCACACATCAAATTATATGTTCCTGATTATGCGGCAAACACAGGAAGAAAATTATGATGTTTTACTCAGAGTAAAATTACTCTAATAAATGGATTTAATGTATAGATATATGGAGATGGCATATAATTATATCCTGAATAATATGAAATAAGTTCTAGTGAAATATTTAAGTTTACTTTACTAATGCAGAGGTTATATAATTATTAAAATTTTCCTATATACTTTTGTAAGATTATAAATTTTTAAAATAGGTTTTAATCTTGTTGTTACACAGTTGTTTTAGACTTGATTTGTATTGCATTGGAAGTTGTAGAACAATTTGTGCTAATGCTTTTATAGCAATTATATTATTAACATAAATTGCAAGACAGTTCCGATAACTTTGAAACGATTAATTCGATAGTTTGATTTAATATTCCGGAACTTACCGTTTTTTCTCTCTCTGCACTGCATCACTGCAGCAAGGAAGCATAAAATCATCGAAGCATCGGGCAAGCAGCCAAGCAGTCGGCGGGTAATTGATCTGTTCAATCCACGGCGATCGGCCACGCCGGAATGGGACTCCCCAGTCAGTTCCCCGGGTGGGTGAAATCGGGGGGAATGGCATTACTTGCCAGCACTTTGAGCGTTATTAATGATGGCAACGTGTCCGTCGGGTTTGCTGCCCTATTAGCCGATAACTCAATTCATTTCGACTAATTGAACGATGGGGGGAAAAAAACAGGACGAAAGGATTACGCCCGGGCACTTTCACTTCCGTTCCGGTTGACATCAGACAATGAAGGGGATAAACATTGCTGCGGCTTGAGTACTTAATGACCTCTGTTTGGATACGGTAGAGGATTCCAAGGGGTAAAAGTCATTGATTGACTTGCCAGTGAAATGATTATGTTAGGATTTATGTGTGTAAGGAAGAATGGTATAGTATTAATCATAGTTTATGAATATTCATGTTTTAATATCAATACTTATAAGTTTCCAAATCGAAACTCTTTTGAAATACTAACATTTGGTCTTTAAATATTTAATTTATATCTTCACTTGATACTCAATATCAAAAGTGCTTAATGTAACTATTTATTTTAGTATTCCCTAAGGAATAAAGTTCTTTATGTGCTATGACTACTACTGTTTCGTAATTGGGACGAAATTTGAATGTACAAAATGTTCAAAATATACTGTCTCTGATTTATATGACTAGAGAAATGTTATATAAATATGTCAATATTTTACATTTTACCTGTGCAACTTCCTCTATATTTTTAGTGGCCGATTCAAGTCCATGCAAACGATTTGATTTGAACTGATCCGATCCCACGTAGCGACCGCGGGCGCTGACAATTGATTTGTCATCACAATTGGACGTGGCCCGGCGATCTTGGCCAAAGATTTGCCATAGTCGAATCAATCAAAGGCCCCAGCCATTATAAAGCTCGAGGTTAGGGCAAATCAAATCGCTGCTCGGGCAAAGCAAATATAAGAGAGCACACCAGTGATCGTGTCACGTACATGGAATTGGGTTGCCATCGGTTTTGGTTTTCAGTTTTCTGTTTCGAGCTGTGAGTTGTGAGTTCTGGTCCCAGTTCACCATTTCCTTCAGTTGGTCTTCAAGCTTCAGTCTTCAGTCTTCACAGTCTCCGTCTCCAAGGCAAGGCAAGGTGCCGTCGAAGCCGTTTACTAGAACGAATTTCGTTAATTTTTATTGTGATTTCCTAGAACCGAACGACAGTCAAAGTCTTTGGCCCGTTTGGCCTGGTAAATCACGAAAAAGTGTCGGCGGACACGCGCCTCTAAAAGCCCAGCGAGCGTTCCAATCGAATCGAAATGCAAATTATGCAACGCCGCCAAATGAGGTGGACAGAAATGCGCGGGGGTGGGGGGCTGCAGGGGCCAGAAGGGAGGGGAAAAAGAGTGTTCTGCAGTTAATTTTTAACGACGCCAGATTTGTGCATTCAGGCGCTACAAATTGTTTATTGTGGGGGCCCCGTGCCCCCAAATCGTCGCAGTGTTCTTTTTTTTTTTTTTTTTTTTGGTTGTGTTTTTTCTTACCGAGAGCGACTTGTCGTCCAAGAGTTTCCATCACCAAATCGAATTCGCTTTGGTCAGTCCTCGTCCTCGTCGGCATCGCTTTTTTTTTCTTTTCACTCTGCAGTCTGTTTCCTGGGACATTCAATCACGTGTTTGGCGGGTGGATGGCCAAAAATCAGATGGTGGTGACAGCTTTGCCTGGAAGAGAAATGTTGCCCTTAGTTATTAATTACATTACAAGTTAGTTGAAATATGTATATATTGATATTTTATATTTATAGGGGTAAACATTTATTTAAAAAACTGAGATTTATTGCCTTAGCCACATTTTAATCATTTAAATATTCGATATTATAAATATGTCTGTGACATATTTATTTATTTTTTTGCTTACTTTGTTCTCTGGAGTGAGGCTTAAGTTACACCTTTATATAATCAAAAACTATCAGTCTAAATATGATATTTTAGAAAGATATTATATTGTTATTGTTAGTTAAATTAAACCGAATTAACAGATGTTGAATCTTCGTTTACTAATTTACTTATGATCTAATATTTTTAAATGAACTTAATTCAATTTTATTACAGTTTCATTGAGTTTTTTTTATTAGTTTTAGTTGTTAGTTAAATTAAACCGAATCAGCAGGTTGCTTTTAGATTTAATTAAATTTCTGATTATATATTTAATTTTTAATATATTAATTTGCTTATGGTCGAATATATTTAAATGAATGTTAGAAAGCTTGCAGTAGTTTAGGAAATAGACCTTCAAGTTTCCAGTCAACCGAAACGGTCGCATTGCCTGAGATCGGTTAAGAACCTTTTGGATCGTAAGCCTCGTTGGCCACTCCTTTGCCCCAAACCCCCTCCCAGTTGGGAGACCCTGAGAACCCCCTCCTTCCTCGCACTCCTTAAGGAGCATAACCAGCTTGTTTCAGTCGACTGTTTAGGCATGCAAATCACGGACTCAGCCAGCAGTCGTCGTCTCGTGTTGAGGAACGCGCGTCAGCATCATAAAAATGTCATTCCAAACAGAGAGCTGTGTGCCCTGAGCCCGTTTTAAGCGGCCTTTTTATTTACAGGCGAAAATCCGCGATTCGCTCCACTGTGCGAACGACTAAAGATCGCCGAAGAAGCGGCAGGCAGAATGAACGATTTGTGTGTTTTAGATTGAAATCAAAATAAAGCTCAAAGAGCCAGCCGACAAGCGATATACCCCATCCAATCTGTACAGTCCAACCCGTAACCCCCGATTCTGGGGACTACCTTTTTCGAGGCAGTCACCTTTTACAATGGCCGCATGTGTGTGATTTGTCAAAACTGTTACGATCGCCAAATTGCAGATAAGTCCGACCGAGAATCTCCATTTGGAGACGCGACCGGCGGCAGGCCGTCTTTTATAATTATATTTTGTTGTTTCACTTTGTTCGGTGTCATAAACTTATTGAATATCTTGATATCGCCGAGATTCTTCGTTCCCCGTTCTCCATTCTCCATTCTCGGTTCTCCACTTTCCGTTTCGTGTGAATATGAATTAGCTGCTCTTCGGCTAATTGGCAGTGGCACCAAAGCTGTCCAATTCAGCACCCAAGTAGTACCCTAAACTTCCACAAAATACTACTCCGCGGACAAGTCTACTACACAGACAAAAAAAAAGATTAAGCATGATTTTATTAATTAATATTATTATTATTGAAAAAATGTTAAAATAAATTTGGAGAGCCGAAAATGCAAAATGAAATAAAAGAAAATACGTTTTTGGATGGGATTATTTTGTCAACAAAACAAAACTTGAACAATTGTAATTTATCTTAAAGGAATTTTTTCGGTTTAACATTCAGGAAATTAACTCATGTCTTTTTAAAGCATAAAAAGTTGACAGGTCTTTTAATACCATAGACATGGACTGACTCTACATATGAAATATAAATACAAATTAAAATAAAGTAATAATCGAAAAAATCGAATACTTGTTTAGCGATCTTCATATCGATAAGATCAGACCACTTAACTATAACCATATAATTTCGTGTAATTCATATCATTCTCCCTGCACATTCACACAACCACTTGGCTTGACTCGTGTGTCAATAATGTCAAACGGAATGTCAATAGGCCCATGGCCACGCGTCGTCAGTCGCAGTTCATATCAGACAAGACGGCCCCCCGACCCCGCCCCCTTTTCGTATCGCCTCCCCCACACTCGCCCCGCCCACTTTTCCGACAAACGATCCGACCGACGGTTCGACTCTCATTAACATAACAAGTAAAGTCAACAATGGAAATTGTTGTCTAAACAAGACGCGAGCGGTCGCAACGTTTCAATAAACGATGCCGATGCCGGTCTTTCGTTCGTCTTTCTTATTTTCTTATTATTTTTTTTTTTTTGGGCGCTTTGCTGCAGAATTTATTGAGGCTGTGGTAAATATTCGGGGCTCGTTCAAAAGAAATCAAACAAGTAATTTGTTTATTTGGCCAGGGCAATAAAATGAGTAAGCGGCAGGAGAAAGCAACAATCAAAGGGAAGAACGTTGAAGAGAATGGAAGAAAGAGCCGGAGAATTGTGGGCGAGGATCGTTAAAAATTGGGAGCGACAAATGCGGGTAATCATCATGCTCGTTATCATTATAATTATATCACAAGATCCACTGGGCTGAAAATCAGATGGTGGTTAAAAAGCTTGCAAATATTTGCATAAATTAAAAGACTGCAGAAACGAACTTTTTCGGGGAGAAATTTTAAAGAGATGGGACCGCAAAATATGTAAGAGATCTTTTTGTGATCTCTCTTAACTAAAACCTTGGCTTTTTTTTAAATCATTTTGATTCATTATAAAAAAGCAGATAATTGTGCCACCAGTTATTTAGCAATCCTTTTAGCAAACTATATTTATTTTTAATTTGTTTTTTTAGAATCCCTATTATACTGCCGTACAAGATGGCTTAGGTTTTAGGTATTTCTAGATCTATAGTATATGCAAAAAATGTTATTCCTTATCCTTTCTACTCGAACTAATGCTCGCCAAGCTCTAAAGAGTAATATTTTTAAATAAACTAAAATTAAAAAAAAAAATTCTTGATGAATCAGCTTGAAAGTTCCATCACAACCTTCAAGATCCCATGGCAAGATCATTAATCTCCACTGACCTTGCACTGTGGCGATCGTCAAGATCGTCAAAAAAAAGTTTGCCTAACAACCGATCGACGAAGTGTGTAGATTGCAGATTTCTGATTGATTTATGGCGATTACCAAACTAATTGCTTGTTCACGATCACTTTATTGCTTGCTCTGCCCGGTGATCACGAACCGAAACCGATTCTCAGACTCAAATCGTATTACGGATGACAAACGATTCATTTCATATGCACATGTGTGTTGTAGGAACCAATGCTGAAAGATCAGGCCCAAAGATTTATCTCCCGATTTCTTCTTTCTGTACTTTGTTGGGGATCTCGAGGGGGGAGTGATGGTCCAACGGATCACGTCTGCAACGGAAACTTATTAGGAGAATTCTGGTTTGGTTCATAGAATTCGTATAGATGCACCAAAGATGGATGGAGATAGGCCATGTCCGATGCTGACAAATCACCTGTAATAAGTCAAAATGTGTTGCTACTCTCTGGGACGATTTTTCCTTATTTTTCTGCTGCCTTTTGCCGATCCTAAATGGGAACTCTGTCTGTTCTTATTGATGGCCTGCCTTGCCTGCCTATCCTCTCCTGCCAGCGGCACTTTCACTTTTCCCCGAGCATTTCTCCTTTCTAATGAGCATCCTTTACCTGTGGCTAACCACACAGCCAAAAACACAAGAAACACTTGAAGAAAATGTTAGTGGAATTAAGTGCATAATTATAGTTGTTTTTTTAGTATCTTTCCAACTTATCATTAACTAGGTAGTTAAATTTAAAGAGTTAAGTATAAAATTCTAAGTATTAAACTAAATGAAAAATAAAAAATACATTGTATACGACTATCTTTACAATAGTCCACAAAAAGGAAATAAATGAAGATAAATTATAAATAATTATAATAATAATAACAAATTTAATAGCTGAAATAGTTCTTAATAATTACATACTATAAACACTATTCTACATTTCTGCGAAAAAATGTCTGTGTTTTGCTTATAGCATTTTTAAGTTTGTAATAATCAAATTTCTTAATTTCCTTTGTTAACTTTAGTGAATTAGTTCTTTAATACAAGTTTTTTCTTTTTATATTCAAACCCACTTAATAAATGCAATTTCTGTTTATCTTTTTAGAAAGCAGGTAATATAAGCATAGCATTTTATTTATAAACATTTTTTTAAGTGTATAACAAGAGCAAACGTTTAAAACAAATTATTTGGAAATCTCAGGCAAATCGATTTAATATCGATGGGCAACGGTTTTAAGATTTGTTCGCTCTTCAATCTGCCTAGTGGCTGTGTTTTTTGGACCAACAAATGAGTTACGGGCTCGGAAATCGATCTGGGTTTGGGCTACCTAACCCCCCGACCACTAAAGATATATAGTATATATACCCCTGCTCCGATTTGTGGTCCCTCTTGTTTATCTGACGCTGGTGGTCCCCGGTTTTCGTGTTTTTGGCTGCATCAAATTTTGATTTATCTCATGGATGCACCTTTGTCTTGCATTGTTGGTTCTAAATTTAGACCGCTGTTGTTGTTCGTGTTCACACCTTCTGGCCAACAACAAAATAACTGGCAAATGGACAGCGACAAATTCGTTACAAGTTGTGCCGGGAGGAGAGAGGAGGGAGGGGGATGAGTGTTGGATTCCCGAAGGAGGAGCATTGGGACAAGTCCTCAAGGATGGCCACTTGTGGTGGCTTTGTTTAACAGCAAAAGGCAATAATTGTAGGAGCGACATCGCAACATTGTGGCTGCACCCACAGTTGCACCAAGGAAAATTATTTATTCCGTAAAATATTTTGCCAAATAAATTTGTATTATTATTTCCAAGCTAATTATTTGAAATCAATGTTCAAACGTTGTAGCAAATTTGTATTGACGCTTCAATAGTAATTTCCAAAAGGTAATTTATTAAAAAATTCTTAGAATTAAATTTGTAGAAATAAAACTGATCCACATAAAAACCTAATAAAAAAAATAAAATAAAAAAAAACACACATAAAATCAAATAATAAAATATTTTTAAAATTTTACAAATAACATAATGCTATAATATATAGTCTT